TCAGACTGCCGTTCGTCACAGGTAGCTTAGCTAGTGTCCGCATCCCGCACCATACTTCCAAGCCTCAAGTTCCAGGCCTCAACCCCCCTCTCAGAGTCTCGCTACCTCAACCCAGCCCAGCCCCACCCTCACCCCCCTCCAGTCCTTCCCCTCACATCATCATCCTTCCACCTCCCAACAAAAAACCTCCTCATCCCCTCCCCACAAGCATTATACTTGACAGCGCTCAGCGGGTTTTCTTCCAAGTGGTCCATTACCCTAGCCATCTCCTCGTCGCTGAGGTATGTTGTAAAGGTCTTTTGGATATCTGCGACGGCGGCGAAGAGGGATTGTTCGTTTGGTGGAAGTAGGGGGTTGAATCCAGAGATAGCATTTCCACCAGCACCAGGATAAGCGCCTCCAGAGCCCAAGCCGTGAGGACCAGCTCCAGAACCAGCTCCAGCTCCAAGACCATGACCATGACCACGCCCAGAATTAGAAGGACCAAGAGGACTAAGAGGACCAAGCCAACCACTCCTCCTCACAACATCAACCACCCCCTTTGCAGCCCTCTTCAGCACCTCCCCAGCTATCTCCTCCCTTATTTCATCCTTCAATTCATATTTCACATCCTCCCTCAAATCATCCCTCCACTCCCTCCCCAACTCCCTCCCCAAATCCTCCAACTGCCCCGTTATCTCGGCCCGCACTTGTTCTTGAAATTCAAGATGGGCCCAGTCTTCAAGCTTCGAGCACGCCGTGTCTAGACCGGTTTCTAGGGCGTCGTCGATTCGGTGCCGGATGCTGGAGCGGATGGAGGAGGCTTCGGAGGTGTTGTAGCGGCAGTATTCGTGGGGGCAGGTTTGGATGTTTTGGGAAGGTTGGTGGGAGTGGGATGTTTGGGATGTTTGACTTTGGGGATGATGGGAAGGAGTACTGTGGGGGTGGAAAGGGGAATGGTGAGAATGGTGAGAGGGAGAACTGTGGCTTTGAGTGTGACTGTGGGGATAACCCTGAAGGCGAGACCGGGAAGTGGATGAGACTTCGAGATGCTGCACTCGCTTTTCGAGAGCGGCGTTTCGAGAGAGGAGTTGGTGGATTAGGAAGGAGAGTTTTTGTGGGTCGACGTCAACGGTTGAGGCATCGACTCCTACTTCGACTTCCAATGTGTCTCGGAGGGGTGGGAGGAGAGTGGGAGGTGAGGCGCGGTCGGAGGGGGTTGTTGCCTCAAGGCGTGGGCGTTTGCTGTCACGATCTGTGGAGGTAGTTTGTTAGCGCCACGTGCGACTAAGGACGTTGAGAGTAGTGCCTTGCATGGGGATGTACCTGATGGTGTGTAGAGTTGTGTTGACTGCTGACTTTGGGGGACATTCTTCTTCTCTGTTTGGTCCAGATCGTTGCCTGAACCTGGTAACACCCCTTCATCTTTGCCAGCAGGATAGGGAGGCAAGAATTCGCTTGGGCTTGGACTTGCGCTTGCTGCTCGTTTGCGCGTCCGCGTTTGGGTTGGAGTTGATATTTGGGCAGCATCTTGAAGCTTGCTAGCTGCAGAGATGGCATGCGTAGGACTGCCTTGTTCCGCCTCCTGCACCAATGCCGTAGTCCTCGAATTAACAACCTCCCCACCAACACCCCTATAGAGCCTCGCAATAGATGCGCGTTTCTCGTTCGTAGCTAGTCGACAGCGGGAGAAGACCAACGGGAGCAAAGCCAGCTGTTCTCTCGCCTCAGCCACCAGCGAGAGCAAATCCAAGTAGATGGACAGCTCCTTGACCGTGGCAAGAGATTGTAGAGCATCGACAAGTGCTGTAGACGCCCCTTTGGTTCCAAAGGCTGGTTCTTGGGCGCGACAAAAGTAGGCGGCTGTATCAAGATGAAGCGCAAACGGATGAACCTGTTCGGGGGACCAGCCATCGGTGCTTGTTGTGCTCCTCCACCCTGCTTAAGAGACATGGTGATGGTGGGAGCCGTGGGCGAAGGGGTATATGCAAACTCAACCGACCGTATGTTCTCGGGGTAGATGAACAGGTAAAGAGCAACGCCGCTGGAAGGGCCGGCTTTGAGGATACATTGCCCGCGCAGGGTAATGAGAGCTGTTCCTTGCTCAGTGTCGACGTGCAAGTCGGCTTTGAGGCTTGGTATATGCCGAGCGAGCCCTTCAACCTCCCAAGTGACTTGAACAGTCCGAGAAGATAAATTGAGCTGATAACTTCCAGTAGAGTCGTCCGTATCAGAGGCGGTTGACACGTCCTCGCCGTAATACCGCTCGACAACACTGATGATGGCGGAATTGTCACTATCGCAGATCTCAAAGGCAAGTTTGACAAAGTGGAGGGTGAATGAACGACCTGCCGCTCTCTCGGGAAGATACAACTGTGAGTCTAGTCAACTAGACCGGAGGCACGGACCTCACGTTGCAGCAACTGGATCAAGTCAGACCGGCCACGTACCCAAATGAATGGGCACATGGCACCAGGCCGTGATGACGGAAATTAGGCAAAAGACATAAAGGTAAAAGGGGAACAGTCCCGCCGCTCTCTCAAGTTACCTTATATTAAAGTAACTGGATCAAGTCAGACCGGCCATGCATCCCTTCCCTCGCAACTGCTTCGAGAAAAGATAACACAGCACCGAGACCATCCCCTCACCACCTCATGTGCGGGACAGGAACAAAAAAGGGAACGGTCCTGCCGCTCTCGCGAGACGATACAACTTCATCAGCTTGGTTTACTATGAACGGGAGGCGAATAACAGTAACACTGGTCTCTGTTGCCGCGGCCCTGCCAAAGAGAAAAGCCCCAGTCCTTTCAGCAGATAGTAAGTAGTACCTGATGAGTAGGAGTTGGCAAGTTTTTACGGCTTTCTTGACTCATAGCTCACACGGCCTTTGAAGTTGCAAATCGAACTGGCAAGAGACGGACCGGCCATACAATCCCCGAAAGGAGAGATGCATAGCACCAGGTACCGCGGCGAATCGGGGAGAGAGGGCCATGGGCAAGGGGCAAGAGGCAAAGGGAGGACAGGATTTGATATGAACGAAACCTTGTATCGGCCATAATCGTCTTCTGCGGCGCACGTTGCAAGTCAATTGACCATGGGTCGGGCTAGGTGCCTCGGTGTTTTTCTTGTTCGCCAGCGAGAAGAGACATGCCAACGGACGGAGGTCAGGTATGCACAAGCAGGAGGCTGTGGTAGCGACTGCCCGTGGTGGCCATCACTCCGCAGCCATCAAGTTACTGACCGTGAGGAGGAGGACAACGGCTGTGTAGGTGATAATCGCGCATCGGTCTTGTTATCACCGTCGCCGAATTGAAGCGGCGATCGCAAAATGTGCCGCGCCGAGTCGGCCATAGCGGTGGAGCTCGGATGGAGGCTGGAAGACTGGAGTGGTGATGATTGATTACGGCAAAGGGACGAGGCGACGTCAAAAGCGGAGGCTGGAATGGGTGCGACTTGGAGAAGCCTGCCTTTGTTTGCTCTGCGAAGTGAACGCCAGCGCACGTGACAGGAACCAATTTTGGAGGCTTTTGATTGGTTCCTGGAAGAGGCTTGTGGATGTGGCTTGCCGGTGTGGCTGGTCACGTGGCTCACCCACACGCGACACGGGCCAGTGCGTTGGATGCCCTCGACGATAACACATTACTCAGTCACTAAAGCATTGCAGATCAACTTTGCTCCATTCAAATAGCTACCACGTCTTCATTCGCTAAAGCACTCGATATACGATGCCCTGTCCTCCGATAACACCCGCTAATGACCCCTCCTGACCCCGGCAAAACATCTCAACCCGGAAGACAAAACCGACAGACATATTTCCAGCCGGTCATGTAGACGCGACGCAACTCCGTTGGTGGTGTACAATATGTGTTCAACAACACTAACAGAAGGTTACTTCTTCAGCAGCCACACCAGACCCTTGATTACATCCGTTGTAGCGTTCTATACTTGCCTAGCACGCGGTCGGGCCCTGAAGAAAGCCACTATTAGGAGATATTCTCTAACCAAAGAATGAAATTAACATACATTGACACAACGAAGGGCTCCCACCACTCCTGCGGCACCGGAGCGGCGATATCATGGTCCTGGAGCGGCGGTTGTTCTGCAACAGCTTGTAATCGCGGCTGTGCATCCCCCAAAGGCATATCCAGAGCCACCACGCCGGACTCATTACGTGGTAGGAGCGGCGTCGCTAAGGTGGCTTGCTTGCTGCTGATATTGTTCTTCTGGATGCAGCGCGGGCGGACCTGGCTCATACTGAGGCAATTGTCTAGATTGTCGGTCAGTACATGTCAAATATAGCGAACAATGAGGAGTCAACCTACAATGGCCACAACGGTCATCAGGCCGCCGAAACAGAAGCCAAAAGCCTCCAACCAGGAGGAGGGCCAGTCCTTCAAGAATGAGAGCCCTCTAACACTGGCCTTGGCTATATGGTATGTTTACGGTACAGGGCGCGCAGGGTAGTATGGCACTGTTGTAAAGGAGAGTGTAATCCTGGAAATGGAGTGCGAGCGCGTGGTCCTGGTAGTGGAAGGAGTGTGGCGGCAGTGCCCTCGTGTCAAACCAGCAGTGCTGGTGATAGAGCAGCGGTGCCGGAGACACTGAGGGAGCAATGGTGATAAGTAACTGGATATACTTCAGTTACCACACCTGCCTCTGCGTCGTGAGTCCCGTGGGCGTATAGTAGAACCACTGCAATTCGAGTGTGCAGGAACCACCTCAGGGCGGGAAATGAGGCGCTTAGTACCCGGAAACCTCAACCAAGTATACCGTAGATACTCCTCGCTTTAGTAACGAAAGGCCGTTACAAAACTATGATCGGTATTTTCGAAATTCGAAAACACATTGGCCAGAGATAATTAGGCATTCGTTCCATTCGAAAAATGCCTAGAGTACGGAGTTAGAGGAATTGGAGAGACGATTAAATATGTAATGGACTTACTGACCGTGACATGTTCGGTCTGATCTTAGTTACGACTTTTTGGTAGTTAGTACCGCAGGCGTATATTGTGAGAGGAGGGAATTACGGACCTTTTGTTTGTACTAACATACGGAGCGGCCTGAGTGATAACGTGACCGCAGTTGTTACTAGCGGAAATCACACTTCCGTTCCTTCCAGGTTCTCAGTTGGCAAGGGCGGGCACGGGGACGGGGACAGTGACCTGACAGGATGCATTGGTCGATGGGCCGGGCTCGGAGGTAGTGGCAATGAGCCGAGCGATGGCGGTCAGCAGTCGTGGAATAGGACTTACTCTGTATGAAGATTTCAGAGATCTGGCCATTCGACCCCAGACGTTGTTGCCTACGTGAGCTAGGGTGGTTGCATTGGAAGGGAAGAAGAGAGTGTGGGGACTCAGCACCGACAGTGCAAGTGGAAGTTGAAGAGGAAGTCGCGACTGCTGGAGTGCTGGGCCCTTCCACTTGCGGTTGTAACTACCTAGGCACCAATCCAATGGAGGTCGCTTCCATCTACTCACTTCCATGTTCAAGTTTGTGGTAAAGTCACTTCAAGAAGCCCTTCGACCCCGACTGGAGGCGGAGCTGACGGACATTCGAAGGTTCGGGTCACGGCATTTTGTTTTGCATGGTCAAAAGGAATTAGTTGCGGTAGAATTGCCTGATTCTTTTATATGATAGTACCATCTATGCAAGATGCACCCAGATGAAAGCATCCTGTTCCCTGATGACCCAGTATTCTATGTTGTCAAAAACACCTCCAAGTCCACAGTTCTCCATCTCACTCGGCACCAGTATTAGACCAGCCATCATCAACCCAATCCCACTCAAGCTTATCCTCATCACCACTATCCGTGGTCGTCTGCAGCTGCTGCTCCGTGAATTGACCAGCCATCAAAGCCGGCCACAATCGATCGATGACATGGCAACGGTCCTCGAGTTCTTGCGGGATAGGTACTCCGGCAGGGGCAGGCTCGACATTGGTTTCGTCCGGTCTGCGTCTGCGCTGGAAGGGGTCGTAGTAGACCGTGGGGAACATCTTTGTCTGCTTTTCTGTGCCGCTTGTGCTGGTTCCCGTCCCTTTTCTTCGTCAATATCGGTGGTCGTAGTCGTAGTCGTAGTCGTAGTCGTAGTGATGGCCGGGGTTGAGTTTGAGGCTGTGGATGGTGCACCAATTTGGTTGTTCTTCTTCTTCCTCTGCTGTCCACCCCCGTCGTATCGATACACGTAAGGCGCTGATGCCATCTTCTGCCTCCGCTCAAGCTGGTAGAATCTGCCCACTGCCGGACCGCTCCCGCTACGGACCATGCCGAAAGACCAGCTTTTCTGGCCACTGGAACATTTGGAACCGGGAAATGCGGCATCAAAGCATCGAAACGCCGGGTCAGTTGCTCTTTTTATGGACAGATTCCCTGTTTATCCGAGGCGTGCTTCCAACTGTGACGGGACCGGGCAGGACCGGGACATTTCTCGCCAGCCGGCCGAGCTTCAAGGTGTTATTGAAGAACCGAGCAATGGACATCGATCCATCGAGCGCTTCTGCGGGCGGCGGACTGAATAGCCTCGTATGTGCTATGTTAAGTTGCTCGGCCCCGATCTACTATTGTTGAGTTGGCGTCATTGAAACGAGTGTTCAGGTGTGAAATAGAGTCCTCCCCTGGTCACACCTAGGCTGGACATCAATGCACTCATCGATCCATCATTCAAAGTCAGGAACAGGAGTGGAAACCAAGCCGGTGTCGGGTTCTCCGGCGCCTTCCATCAATACCCGAAATCGGAGGAGAGAGCCCCTCTTGTTCAGGCTGTGTGGCCTTTGAATTCCATTATGAGCATAGTAGAGCCAAAAGCTTGCCGTAATCGTCCTTTATCGTCATGAAATTAACTCGCCCGCCTAGGAAGGAGAAGAGCGCGATACCGTCACAACCCAACCTGGATCTTGGACAGCGAGGAGGCAGGCACTCTCTTTGGCCCAGCCAGTCCACCAGAGGCGGAACCTGGAAGTGTCTGAGATAAGGAGAGAAGCAAGCGCGATGGAGTTGACCGACTCGGATCACGCACTTGGGCAGTAGGTTGACTGATAATGGCAGGTCCGTCCATGGAGATCGGTACCACAAGGGCCCATCGCCCCAATGGTCGTAGCTTCCACTTTGATGTTGACCTGCGCCTTCCGTACTGCCATGTCATGGGCGAAATACCGTAAAAACTCACGAAAATGGCAAAAGGCCTTTCCTCTTTGAGCGCCTGCAGTTGTCACGGCGCTGGCGGACCACTACATCACTAGGCTATGTTCCAAAAGGATACAAGTAACCGAAGCTGGAAATTCGGTCGCTCAAGTGGTCTTATATAGTTGTGATAGCAGTCGAGAGGCACAACTGCAAGGCTGCCATCACAGCAGTATGGCAGAAATATGGCAGAAGCCAGCCCAGTCAGCCAGCATTTGTAAGTCTGTGTAGCCGGCATGTTGTGAGTATAATATAGTGTAGAATCTGCCAGAGCTATAGTCCTAGCGGTCTCCCCGTAAGAAATCCCCAGGCAAAAAGCACAGTAGGAAAGGCCTAATTGATAGTCCCGCGACGAAGAACATTGCCCGCCAGCTTAACTCACACACATTTACATATACAGTAAGCGGACTGATCCTGCCATATTTCTACTATACTACAGGCGCTCAAAGAGGAAAGGCCTTTTTCTAGTTTCGCGAATTTTTACGGTACCGGTAGCCAAATCTCATAACTTTGTCAAGCAGGTCCCACTGACTGGAGGAAGACCGGCGTGGCACATGCATCATGCATGACCGCCCGGGCCCGCTCCTGCCCCGAGAAGTGGACGTATGATTTCCGTCGACAGCCCGGCAACCTCAGCAATGGCACCGGAGCAGATACCTAGCATGGATTGAACTTTCCATGGATTGAACTTTCCATGCGCCGACAAAGGACGTGACAACAGCCCTAGCCGCGCTTCATTCCACTCGGTCTCTTCTCTTTCTCAACCCATCGTTGCCCCAAAGAGCGACCTCAACGATGCCGGCCTTGGTTGGGTGATTGCATCCACGAACGTTGTGAACTGGGACGTCCCATGTGGGCATTATCCGTCCATACGTGATGCCCAAGTGCCTGCCCGCCCAATGACAAGGACTATTGAATTGAAGCAGTAACCATTCCCGATGTTCTCAATTCCGCACACAGCCAGTCCCGTCCAGCCTCTAGACCGGGACATGCCCAAATCCACTCAAAGCAGGTGGCCGAAGATCGAGTCTTTCCGTCCACCATCGTCCGAACCAACACCCAACACAGAGCGGCAAGCCCTCCTCACGAGACGACCCAGGCCCAGTTGCCAATTTACGATTGCCCTAGGTGTAGTCAAGGACATCCCGTGTTTGACCTCGGTTCGTTGATAGCCGGCTTGGTAGGGCTCTACAATCTAAACACCTGCACTGTCGGGTTATTTGGCCCCGGTTCTTCTTCCTCGTGAAAACCTGGATTTGGCTGTCTTCGGGAATGGCTGAGATCAGAGAGCATGTCTCGAGATTCTCCAATGCTCAATGGCGGCGGTATGGCGGGGACTGAGAGAGTTAGTTGCCTCCTCTGTTGCCTGACCTCTTGCTCAGCCGCATATCCATGCCATTACCCGTCGTATTTTTCATTCCTCGTTTGTTTTGTACACCTCACCTTGCACCATGAGCTCCCGCTAGCTGAACCTAGTAACTAGGCGAGAACTTGGCCCTGTCACGGAACGCAAACATACTTGCACTGTATCAACTGCACCAACATCATCGGAGGATTTGGTGGAGGCAACCAATAAAGCCACATTTGTATCCGAGGTAGAAATCTGGGCAGATGCAAGTGCATTATATTGGTTTCACGTTGCGTGGTGGCGATCATTGCCAGCATGTGCACTTTTTCTGGCGACCAGTGGTTACGATGACCTGAGGGGTATTTGCTTGGATACGAGCCCATCTGTTGCCTTTATAAAAGATGGTTTCTTCCTTCGATACCCACCTCCGTTTGGCTTCTAGGGCGATGGAAATATGGATTTGGTAACAGTCATTGCAATACCGCTTAACACAGCTCCCAATTGACCGTCTTTAGCCAGCCATGGACTCGGCAAGGGAAGGATTGCTTTCTCGTGGCCCTCAACAACAGCAACAACAAAACGGCTTGGGCTACTTCGAAGACGGTACTCCCATCCAGACTCCTCCGCCTTTATACTCCTCCAGCTTTCAGGACGATGCGCCCGACCGAGCATCAAACCAACAGCACAATTACCGTCCTGCTGGCCGCCTTGGTGGTATCAATTTTGGTGGTTGGCAGCCACTACCATCGACTGTTCCAGATGGAGAAAATCTTGGCGACCAGGAACAAAAGGGAAAGCAAAATCCGTTTCGTGATCAGGACCCGTCGTTTGATGCTCGAAAGAACCGCCCAGATGATGTCTACTATTCCAAACTCCGCCCATGGAGCTCTTGGTGGAATATAAAGCACTTACCATGGAAGAGTTTGGTTCCTCTGGTGTTGTGTTTTGCCTGTGAGTTCTAGAGCCCTTGTACCACGTCTGATTCGAAGAGCCTCAGCTGACAGCCGGTAACTTGCTATACAAAAGCCATTGGTGCCTCCCTATACACCGCCCGCCGAGCTGAAAACAGGCTCGTTGAAGACTGGTCCTTTCCGATCGTCGGAAGTGTACAGCCTTCCACAATCCTGGCCGCCTTCTCCGCCATGACTAACTCGCTAATGCTGCTCGCTTTTACCAACGCGTGGGTCACCATGTTCTGGCTGCAGGCGATGAAGCCCGGCGGAGTGCCAATCACGGATCTACACTATCATACGCAGGGCGCTATGGGGCTGACTGGCGCATTGTCGGCTTTGTTGAAAAGAAGAAGCGTTGGGATTAGCCTTGGTGAGTTGTCTGCAAAAGTCTACCGCCTTTCTTGATTTATGTCTATGTGTCTCCTTCGCTCATGGACGTGTACTAACCTGGTCCAATGACCCGCGGTAGTGTGTATTATGATCGCAGTCAGCAGCATCGCCCGCGGTCCTCTGATACAAAGGGCCGTATCCGTGCAAACGTTGGAATTCTCAGTCAACGGGACGATAGATCTGCCGATAATGCGGGGCCTTACGGATGGCTGGGGGGGAAGATATAACGAACATTCGGGCAGCAACATGGCTTTATTCGACGAAGGCTTTTCTCAGGCCATCCGAGACTTCCAGGCCAAGACCCCAATTCACATTCCTGGGCTGGCACAGCCTTGTGAGAACTGTTCATTCACAGTCAACGTAAGTGCCCCTGCCGACGTTTAGGCCGTGTTCGTTCAAGCATTAGTGCAGTAAGAGAAGCTCTTCTAGTCCAAACCCAATGTGTTTCGGTCGCCAGAAAAAGGCTTCTGTCACAGTGCTACTGCCAGAACGGACATGCTCTTACCCACAGAAGCTAAACATGCCACCTTTGCTTTGAGATGACTCTACCCAATACCAGAGAACAATTGCACTTGATGAGCAACAAACGGGCAGGTACGTAAGCTGACGATTAAATTGCATTTATTTATTTAGGGTTTCGGATTTGATGTCATAAATTGCGCTGAGGAGACCACGCCCTACAATATCTATGAGCAGTGGAACGCGCGTGAGGGTTATACCAAGTTTGATTTTACTGCGACATTCTATGAAGTCAATATCACTTGGGCGTCATTACGTCCTAATGAAGATATCTGGGACATTGGGCCAAAGGGGTTAGAGACCAGAATCTTGCGAAAGGCTGAACCTGACTGCAAAGGTGAAACTATCACCCGGGTTTGTTTTTTCAACCCATCGAGAATGGAGTACAAGCTGTTTATGGACAAGGGTAGCAATGTGACCTTTCAATCGTCTGACTGGAAAAGCGATGTGGTCGTTGAGAACATGTACGTTCCCCGTTCCCATTCTTTATCCCGTGCCCGCTCTGCCCTTTTGCTGCCCTATCAACTTACCAGTCTTCGTCTCGCTACCTCCTCAGCACGGAATACTAAACTAAGTCCATCTTTGCACTCCTGTCCAGTACCCTTTTCCCCCCCTTCCGCAACGCCACGAACACTCTGCTACCTCTTTATAACTTCATCAAACCCCAATTCGAAGCCCGGGCAATGCTTTACGAAGGCGTCGGCGACCACGACATGTCGTATTCTGGCCTGGGCGGCTACCTCTACCACCGGAAGCCAGCCCCCGGGACAAAGCGCTGTTGGGGCACGTGGGAAGATCCCTTCGACGATATCATGAATTCTTTCCGCGATCTAGGCCTGCGGCTATCAATCCGCGAAGCGATGGAAAAGAAGGAGGAGGCCGAGAATCTGAAAGTGATGGGAAACGTGACCGATGCCGACGTTCTGATGGACAAAGTGATGCAGAAGGGTGTGGAGTTTGTGAGCAACCAGGCGAGTTTGAGGTATGTGGTTGATAATGGCAAGCTTTGGTTAGGGCTGGGAGTAAGCGTTATGGGCCCGCTGGCAACCCTGATTCTGTTATTGTGGCAGTGGTGGGGAAGAGCAATGTTCATGGGCTCGCCAGGGTTGGGAAGGACGTTCTCGATGAGTCCGTTGGAGATTGCTAATGCGTTCTTTGGTGGTGGCGGCGTTTCCGTTGCAAGGAAGAGGGCCATGATGTCGACATCGTACTCGCCGGGAAGTGGAAGCGAGAGCACCAGCAAAGCGGGCAGCTCCTTGGCAGTTGTTGTGATGGAGGTGGACCAGGGTGATCACCACAATCTGAACCAGCAGCAACACACTCACACCCTAACCCCAATCTTGACGGGCTGCAGCAGCAACTCCTCGGCGAGCCAGATTGTCAAACATATCCGACGAAGAACCGTAGCGATGAATGGAAAGGGAGGCCTTATCAGGAACAAGGAGCCTAGGGTACAATATGGAGTGGACGAGAGCTCGGGACGGCTTGCTTTTGTGGTCATTGAGAGAGGGGAAGAAGGCGAGACGGTCGTTAGACCGCCGAAAAGAAAGGAGATGTTGTAAGAATCATGGGGCACGATTACTTGGGGCAATGAAACTTGGGCATTGGAATTGGCCACTTAACACTAGGTATTGTTAGCTCGGTACTCCTAAAGCAGAGGACGAGATACATCTTTAACTGTCACAAGCCTCACAGGGATAGGACAAATGGTAAAGGACAAATCGAAGAGGCATGAACAAGGTTCAATATGGTAAATACTAAGGAAGACTCGACTCGGTGTCTATTGTGGTACATGTTAGCAGCGATTTAGCTTGACGAACGAAATGAAAACACGCAGAACTTTACGGAGGATGATCAGTGATGATATTTCAATGAGTATCATCTTTACTAGGCCTGTGTTGTGGTCGAAAGCGTTGAGTGTCCGCAGTTCAATTTAGGAGGAGATGGTTCGTAATTAATGTATGAGAAGTGGCCACTGACCAGCTCGCCTGCCCTGCCACATTGAGAGCAGGGGGCTCTCTCTACAGGTACTCTAGACCTTCGACCTGACTGGAGTTGCACTTGGACATTACCTCTACCTCCATCGCTAATCAGCTTAAGGTAGAGGTAACCTTGAAGCTGTTTCGTTCTTTAGGTCATAGAGTACGCATCCTCGGAGTAGCAACCTGCAACGAACGAACCAGCACATTCCCACCTTCAGTGACTGCCGGGTACCTTGCCCGATTTACCTCTACCCAGGGGCAGGTAGTAAGTATCGTCGTCTGTTTTGAGCACCTCATACATGCCTAGGGCTAGAAGGGGGTAGTTGAACTGAGACATTGAGACTGCAGGGACTCGAGCATTCATACTCCTTGGCCAATGGCTTGAAAACAAATGCTGAGGTCTAGCCAGAATTTGCAATGGTCAACAATCACCACCATCTTTCACGTTACGCTTTGGCAAGATACAGCTCGCTGATTTCATGGCGGGATAAACGAGATGTGCCAACAGAGCCTCGGGAATTAGTTTCATGATGGCATTGAGCTTGTACTTATCACGATCAACTTAAGGCCAGCCTATCTTATGTCTAAAGACCGAGTCAAATACATGTTACCAACGCCACAACTAAGTGAAGAGTGATAATTCGAACCGAGAAGTATCAACATACCTCTACACGTGTATAATAAAGGCAATAACCAGGCCGATTGTACATACCAGCACGGTACCTCATAATGTAGCGGAACCAAAATCGCACTCATTCCTCACCATCTCCAATCCATAAGTCCCGGTCTCCCCGACCCGAGTCCCCCAAAATCGAGCTCCAACTAACGAATCACCAAACGACTTTCCCTTTCCGTCTTCACCTGCATCAGGGTGTGAAGACCCCTGGCTTGGCCTTCACACCCAAGGCTCTTAAGTGCCTCCCCGAGTCCTCCAACTTCCTTTCAACGTAACCCTCCATTATGCTCCTTGTCCATTTGCCAGGGCACCTTTCGTGCGAACCGTTGAAGCACTTAAGTATTGTGTGCGTGTGTGGCTGCGCACCAATCACATGAACCTCTAGCTTTCCTAGCTTTTGTAGTGGTGAGTGCATCACTAGGCCGGTCTGACTGGCCTGGGACCTACCCGAGGTATATACGCCTCGGACTATATAAGGCAGTGTAGAGTAGTGTATAAGCTGTTGCGACTATCCTTCGTGGATTCTGGATTCTGGGCTGTAGGTATGACATGATACGAGTAGGACAGCAAGAACATCCTCTGTTTGTTCTCCTCTCGAAGGGAATGTGTTCCCTCCATGTCTGGTCGTTGTGAATTGACACTCCCGGAATGTTCTTGATAGAAGTCCATTATCTCTAAATGTACCTAGGAACTCAATCGCTCCCAGACATACCTCGGTGTTGTATCCCTGTTGTACCTACCTGCCCTCTTGAGCTCCGAACATGAATCGATTGATAGCCTAAAGACAATTTTCCTAAATCTCAGGTTGTCGACTACCTAAGGTATGTCCCTGTGTTCAACACCCAACATCCAACATCCAATAGGCTCATGCCAGGCAGGTACAAGCAATTCTCTCGATTTCAATCTGCTGATACTCGCATCTTCAAATGAACTGCCCCAAGCTCATTGGCGCCTCAGACAGTATACAAGAAACAAATTGTCCAGGAATCGATGAAATGAATGGTTCGCGGACGGCTTACCTACCACTACCTAGGTTTGGCATAAGTGCTTGCTTAGTACTGCTTGCTTCCTGCACGATGTGCGTACAGTAGGTGGTATGTGATGCTACCGCTGTTACTCCCTCGCGTTATATTATATGTCATGCGAGGTGAGTTAGGTATACTACACTACTGTATAGTGCAACCTCGGCCTGGCTCCCAATGTAAGGTATGCTGGAGCAAGGATGGATGGAATTGGCCAGTGGTCGACCAGTCTTTGTGGTTTGGTGCCTTGCACCAAGAATCATGAACTGCTTGCCATTGATACACCACCGTGAATTCGAACTCGCAGACATGGACATCCAGTCAGTCGGTTACGGTTTAGTGAAGAAGAGTATTAATCGCCTGGGTTTCACGAACTGACTGGATATGATCCCACGAGTTCATCAATTCCACATGCAATATCCCACCAAACCGTTCCCCGTGTGTAGTGTATGTTACACAACAACCACAACCACAACCGCAAGCTTCAATGTATGGTCACCTCCAGCTGGTGTTTAACATAGAGGTAACTTCCACAAATTAACCCATGCAGCGGCTTGAACGGGTCGAACGGGTCGAATGGCTCGAACGGTTCGATATTGCCAAATCTGCAATCTGCAATCTGCAACACAACTTCGCATCCACCATCCACCATCCTGTTGCTGCAGTGACAGGGTAAAACGACGGACGGTAGGGTAGGCACTAGCCTGCACGAGGCGATCACGGGGCTATCACGGGGCTTGCTGCACTTTGCCTTTGCCTTTGCAGGACAGGACAGGACAGGGTATGGGCAGGACAGGGTATGGGCAGGACAGGGTATGGGCAGGACAGGACAGGGTATAGGCGTGGGCATTGGCGTGGCATCCACGCGGCTCGGGGACAGACATGAACATGAACAGGGACGGTAGGTAGGGGATTCGGGGACAGGGACGGGAACAAGGACGGGGACGGGGACGGGGCAAGTCGGTACCCATATTGCCTGGGGCATGCTGGGGGTATGGCGATTTAGCAAGGGGAGCACAACCACTTGTGTGCGTGTAGGTACCTCTATGTTTTGTGGTGTGGTGTGTGTGATGGGATCGTATAATTTAATGAACCCAGGCACTGGGGGCAAACGGGAAGAGAACGAACCCGAGGAGCTACATCAAATCATAAAACCAGCGAAGGATTAAGGGATTACTATAGAACTGAACATTGAATGAAAGCATGAGCTTCACTGAGATTAAGAGCTTTTCGGTGACGATTTGGCCATTCCCTGGTGGAAAACATGAATTTGGAGTTCTGGACAAAAGTCTGGGGAAGACAAGGTTCCCACAGAACACAAGAAACACAAGGAAGACAAGGGCCATGAGAGTATGAGACAGACACCAAACGGCCAAGCAAAGGATCATAAAACCCAGCGCAATGCTAAATACAAAACGGTCCAAGTTCGAGACTGGCGAGACTGGGCAATGCAAAAGGCTGTAATTGTAAAAGGTTGGAGTCATCAATAGACAGAGTGTGTGTGTGCGCCCAGCATACCCAGCGTGCCCAATCTTACCTACTGCCCATGCACCCCGGATTATGGTACAAGACCGAGGCACAGAAGGTATGTATGAAAATGCTGGGAAGCAGCTTGTGAGCGGGCACTCAGCAAGTGGCTTGTCCGAGTGGCTTGTCTGAGCTCGTGTATATATGTATGTACACCTCTGCCGGCATTTAAAAGGTTAGCGTGATACTGCCCTCCTACAATATTCAAGGGGCTGTGAGCGGGAAGGGTAGCCATCTTTTGTACGAAAACTAAGGTTATCGCCACTTCGCCATTTCACCGCGCTAACCTTTTAAATACCGGCAGAGGTGGGCAAGGGCGATATAACAGAAAGCAAAACGAAATGTTGAGCTCACTACAGCTCTGAAAACGCCTATAGACTCACCTTGTCCAATACCTATTTCTGGTTTCATTTTCCACCGTCGTCTTTCGTACTCCCAACGTCCAAGGCCGAAACGGCCCCGAAGCGGCGAACACGGCTCACACGGCTCAGCACGGCAAACGCGGACCTCCAACAACCGTAACAACAGCTTGAACGGGAGAAGTTGTTGCTGGCCAGCTGGCTTGCTGCAAATGATCGTCAGTGCAACGATCACCGACCGGTGGGACCCCGATCATCAATCATCATACCTAGAGCCATCGACCTTGCCAGGCTCGAGCCAGGCTCGTGCTTATCATTCACGGTCACGGCGTGGGGCAACCGACCTCACTGACTGCGGAGCCTGTGGAGAGACAGGCCCCAGGCCCCGGGCAATCCACCCCCGGAATCCGGGGTCCGGGGTAAATTCCGGGTCGTCGACGAGCGGATCCGCTGGGGATATTGTACACCTCTTCAGGGATGTAACTTGCTAGCTTGGTACGTTAATCTTACAGGAAACAAGGGCAAATTAGTGTCCGAAGCAGATATTTCTTGTGTGAAATTTAAAGTTCTCGCCACTACCAAAAAAACCACGCTAACAAGTTATATCCCAGAAAAGGTGTATGGGAGAGATGTGGATCACCGTTACCGTTACCGTTACCGTTGGCCCCTCTGGCTATCTGGCCGCCGGTCCCGGGTTCAAGGCATTTTGTCCGTCGGGCGAGTTCTGTTGCAAGATCCGTGTCAGCATGTCGGAGCCGGCGTGTGTGTCCAATATGCATCGAATGCTGCAAAGGTTGGCTGGCCATGGTGTTGTCCAGAGAAAAGGAAACGTTCTAGGTAGAGGGAACTCACCTAGCTCAGGTTCAATGTCATGGGTCCATGCCCCCAATCCCCACTGCCACACAGAACCGCGGGGCACTGTTGGAGAAGCCCTCATCACTCATCAGGGCACTTGACCCTCACGACCCCTCACCTCCATGTCACGACCCCAATGTA